GTGGGTCAAGACAACGTTACCTGGTCTAAATACTGTGGCAGGAGTTTGGCCAAGACCGTGGCTGTTTTTTCACATAGTTCAGAAGGCTTGATAATGACAGCATTTCCTAAACAAGGCAAAAAAAGCAGGACAGCGCCATTTAATACCTGAGTAACCTTAATACCTATGAAAACGGTCCCCGTGGGAGGCGGGGAGGGGGATCCAGGCTAGGTGCTGAGTTGGCCTCCAAATCTGCTGTTCCTCAGTGAGTATGTCTGACTTCCTCAGATGCAAACTCCTTGGTTCTCATTCCCTTCACGTCACTGACGACGGGCTCCACCATGCTCCCTGACTGCTCCAGCTCTTCTCTCGGTTTCCTCCCCCTCTCACGACTAGACTTTCCTGTTTGCCTTGGAATTATTGGGCAAACAGGCCTCATCAATTAAAGCTGTCACTCCGGATCCAGCTGAAGTGAGAAAGCAACCTCTTGGCATCTGCTGTATACTCAAGCCAGCAATACTTCCAGGGCCCATATCTGAATGAGGAAACTGATCAGACTGAATCCGATGGTTCATCCGAGGCCACGGCCGGCAACTGAAACCACTGGAACTCCAAACTCATGGGCCCGTCAACTCACGACTTTAGAACCTCACAGGTTCACTTTCCGGGTATTAAGAAACGAAACAAAACAAAACAAAAAACAGTCACCATGCAAATCTCTGGAGCCCATTTAAAAAATAATAACAAGGGGCGCCTGGGTGGCGCAGTCGGTTAAGCGTCCGACTTCAGCCAGGTCACGATCTCGCGGTCCGTGAGTTCGAGCCCCGCGTCGGGCTCTGGGCTGATGGCTCAGAGCCTGGAGCCTGTTTCCGATTCTGTGTCTCCCTCTCTCTCTGCCCCTCCCCCGTTCATGCTCTGTCTCTCTGTCCCAAAAATAAATAAACGTTGAAAAAAAAAATTTTTTTTTTAAATAAAAAATAATAACAAAAGGGTGCCTGGCTGGCTCAGTCGATAGAGTGTGCAACTCTTGATCTTGGGGTTGTTGAGCCTGAGCCCCAAGTTGGGTGTAGCGATTACTTAAAAAAAAATTCCTTCAGGGCACCTGGGTGGCTCAGTCAGTTAAGCGTCGACTTTGGCTCAGGTCATGATCTCATGGTTCGTGAGTTCGAGCCCCACATCAGGCTCTGTGCTGACAGCTCAGAGCCTGGAGCCTGTTTCAGATTCTGTCTCCCTCTCTCTGCCCCGCCCCCTCTCGCACTCTGTGTGTCTGTCTCTCTCTCTCAAATGTAAATAAACATTTAAAAAAAAATTTATTTTTAAGTCTTAAAAATAATAAAATCCTTTTGTACAACATGGCTCATCTCAGCCCGGAGAGACCCAATAATACCCAATCCCAAACAGCCCAGGGCTGTTTCCACCTCACGGGAGGACCTGCCTGCTCTCCCACCTTGAGAGTTGTAATTTCACTTTAAGAAACTGTTTGGAACTTACTAAGAAATATATGATACTATTTTCTAATTCTCGGTTCACTGCTGGTGTAAACAAAGGCAAACCACCAAAGCAAACACGTGTATTCAATTGGACACTATCCTTAATTTACAACCCACGTGAGAGGATGAGCCCGTCCCCAAGGTCATGAAGAGAGAAACTGACGCCAGACCTGCCGCAATGGCTCCTATCAGAGGCTGAATGGTGAGAACGAAAGGGTAGTTCCAGGCTCCGATAATCAGTACGACTCCCAGGGGCTCTGAGTGAATGTAGGCCTCATCCAGCATGGTGAACAGATTCTTCTTAGCTGGCTTAGCAGCGACCCATTCAGGAAGATTCTCCAGCACGAGATCAAGTTCTCCAAGAACGGTAATGACCTCCTGACTGTATGCATTGAGTTCACTCTGTTATAAGAGGATCACAGTTAATCTTGCCTGAGCAAGACACACCTGGCCGTGAAGAGCTAGGCCAGATACACCTGCTGTGACAAACGGCATTATCAGACTAGCTGGTTTGCCATTCAGATCCCTTTCGTAACCTTCAGGGTCTGAGGATTTGCTAACTCCCTCACGAATATATTCAATCCCTCTAAATCCTGCTTTACTGATCCAAGCCTTTTAAAGTCAGGATTAAACACTGTCTCATTCAGAAACATTTCCATGATCAATATGAGCCTGCCTTGATCAACCTTCATAAACCAATTATGCTTCTGATGTATATCTTGGTATCACACCCTTAGACACTGATTTATAACCGTACTCACATTGTATCTGTGTTTGTTCTGTCTACCAAATTGAAATCCCTCAAGGGCAAGGAACTTCTGTATATTTCTTCAGTAGTCCTACATATATACATACGTAAGTATCTCATGCTTACAGAAAGACTGACTGATCCTTTCTGAAATCTTAATTACGTCACCTTGTTTATTTGCTATCACAGGCTCCTCTCTCTGTCAAAAGTCCTAGAAAGGAAATTTTATATAGTTACTGTTGTTACTGCTACTCCTGATGTCACTACCCCTCAAAATAATCTTTGGGGGGAAAGATCTTTGGGGGAAGTGAGAGAGACCCACAGAGCCAGAGCATGGTCTGGCTGCCCCTAGAATTCGTTAAAACGTAAAAACAAAATGAAAACAGTATTAGAAAATATAGACTGATATATCTGCACCCTAAAGGCTACTCCAAACCTTGCAACTCAAAGAGTGGTTCCGGGTCTTCTCGTTGAAGATGGCAGAGGAGGATCCTGAGGTCTAACTCCTCCCATGGACACTCCCTGGCTACAAGTGCATATACAGTAACTGTCTGAGAATGACCTAAGGACCCACAGGACACGTCGTCCACAGCTAAAGTCCTAAAGAAAAAAGCAACACGGAGAGGGGTAGGAGGGGCAGAGATGCGGTCCAGATGGAACCCACACCCTGGCACCGGGCCCCACAAACAACAAGGATATCACAGGTATGAAGATCCTCCCTGAAAAGGGAGGGCTTCAAGCTGCACATCAGGTGTCCTCGCCCTGGGAACCTGCACCAGCAAGAGGGGCCTCTATAACTCAGGCTTTAAAGATCAGCGGGACTTAACTGGGATGCGGTTAGTTAACAACCGCAGGGCTACAGGAAACTCAGCTCTTATACTGCCAGCATGCAAACTCACTCCCTCTGAGACCCAGCACAGAGGTAGCAGTCTGGAAAGCGCCTGGGCCAAACATGACAGAGATTTATGAGCTAATCTTAGGGTTTGTATGCTATTAAAAACAGAAATACCACAACATCCAGGAATTCCACTTCTGGGTATTTAGCTGAAGAAAATGAAAACACGAACTCAAAAAGATCCGCGCATCCCTGTGTTCACTGCATTAGTTACAACAGCCACATCATGAAAGTGACCTAAGTGTCTGACAGATGAATGGATAAAGGAAATGTGGCATATACACACACACATATGTATTTATTACGGAGTGCTACTGAGCCAAAAAAAAAAAAAAAAAACATGAAATCTTGCCATTTGTGACAATATGGATGGACCTAGAGAATATTATGCTAAATGAAATAAGCTGTACTGTGCACCTGTGTTGTACCCCAAACTAATATATTGTATAGCAACTAAACTGCAATTAAAAAACAGTAAAATTTTAAAAAAGGGTTGGGGCGCCTGGGTGGCGCAGTCGGTTAAGCGTCCGACTTCAGCCAGGTCACGATCTCGCGGTCCGTGAGTTCGAGCCCCGCGTCGGGCTCTGGGCTGATGGCTCAGAGCCTGGAGCCTGTTTCCGATTCTGTGTCTCCCTCTCTCTCTGCCCCTCCCCCGTTCATGCTCTGTCTCTCTCTGTCCCAAAAATAAATAAACGTTGAAAAAAAAAATTTAAAAAAAAAAAAAAAAGGGTAGTTCCCAAACAGGAAGCATGGTATCACCTGGGAGCTTGTTAGACTCTCAGGTGCCCTCCAAGACCTGCTGAACCATAACTTACATCTTAACAAGATCCCCAAGTGACTCATCAAGACACTGGAGTTTGAGGAACACTGGCCTAACACAAAGCAAGGAGGAAAATTTCAGTGCAACAACGACAGCCGAAAAACCTCTGTCTACGAAAGAAATCGTAAAAAGACAAAAACAAATAGACCCGAGGAAAAACGTAAACAATGTACTAAGCTGACAAATTACCAAAATCCACACTATACAAAAGATTCGTACAAATAATAAAGCAAGGAACCATAAATGCAACAGAAAAACGGGCAAAAATATAAAAGGCAATTCACAAAAGAGCAACAGAGGCCGGAAGACACATGTGTCTTTATTTCTCTGTATCTGCAAGGTAAGAAGATCGGGAAAGTCCATGGAAATTTGCCTTATCACGACTGCTGGAGACAATACTCCCACAGTGCTTGCATAATCAAAAATAAATTAAAAAAAAAAAAAAAAGGCAGCAAAAGCTCGGGTGGAATGCGGTTCCCCAGAGGTAGGCGGGTGTCCTGGCTCCGCCCGCGGGGCGCGTACCTTGCACAGGTCGGCGGCGATGGCCTCCAGGATGTCCTTCTCGCGCTCCTGCACCATCCTGCGCAGGGCCTCAAGCTGCTGCAGCCGGAACCTCAGGGGGCGCGACCGGCCGGACGCGAACGCGTCGCGAACCCGCTGGATCTTGCTGTCCATGGCCTTGTCCTAAGGGGAAAGCGGAGGTCGGGCAGCGCCGCGGGGGCGTGGCGGGCCGGAGGGATGCAGCGGCTGGCGGGCGCCGTCCCCCTCCCCGCCCACCCGGCGACCCTCTGCTACGTCCCGGAGCCCTACCTCGCTCACCCGCCCGCCGGCTCGCTCGCTCCGCCGCGTTCTCCGCACCCGCCGCGTCCCACTGCCCAACAGCGGCCGGGCGGGGCTGGGCTGGACCCGCTGCCGCGCGCCGATTGGCTGACGCGCCCCCACGTGACCTCGGCGGGCCGGACGCCGCTCCGGGGATCTAGCCCGGGGGTGGGGGCTGCGGCCGCCGGGGGCCGGGGGAGGGGTGGGGCGTGGGGGTGCGCGTGCTGGCGAGGTGGCTTCAGACGGGGGACGGGGAGTGGCCGGGAAGTGGGCCGAGACGCGGAGGGCGAGGGGCTGGGCGCCCGAGAGAGCCCGGCGCGGGGCAGGAAGCTCCCCGACAGCCGGCGGAACGCGGCCCACGGGCCCCGGCGCTTTCGCCATCGCTTTTCCCTCCCGCCTCCATTTTGTGGCTCTCAGAGGTGGCCGAGGGGACAGAGGCGGGGGCGTCCGGCGCCGCGCAATGCCGGGCCCGGCCTCTCGGCGTCCGTGGAGAGCGGGCGCCAGCACCCCGCGCGCCGCCTTAGCGCTCTGGGCCCTGAGGCCGCCGCCGGGGGAGGTGGCGCAGCACCCTCGTCCTCGGCCCTCGCTGTTCGCTGCCCGACTGCGAGCTGCGAGGACGGGTTGGCAGAAGGCCCTCCGACGAACGTCCCCAGAGGGCAGGAAGCCAGGACCTCATCCAAGCTGGTGCTGGCCGTGCAGCCGTCCAGTTGCCGGCGCTGTGCAAACGTCATCATCGCCCATCCCCTAAGAGCAATGTCCCTCGGCTGCTTATCAGCCACCAGCCACCTTCCCGTTTTTCCGTTCTCCTCTGCGGCCGATCTCCCCAGAGAGGGAACCCACGCCACCCAGTGTGCCTCCCCACCGGCTGGGTGCCAAATCCAATGTGTAATCCTCAGGTCCCTTCTCGTTCTGCTCAGCGACGGCTGGCACAACCGAGCATGGCCATCTTCTGGAGACCCTGGCTTGGCTTGTTTTCCGTCTCCCTGCATTCTGCTGGTTTTCTTTTCACCTTCCTGGCTGAGCCGTCTGGGTTTTTGTTTTGTTTTGTTGTTGTTTTGGTTTTTTTGCTGAACCAGTCCTTGGACTTCTTCCCTTTCCAGAGTTCCAACTTCCTCCTCTAAGCCCATGGATGGTCATCTGAGGCTTTCATTCCATCTCTGGTCCCACCCTCTCCTCCAGACCTGAATGGCTGCGTTCAGCTACATCCTGTTCGTCTCTATGAATGTATAAAGGGCATCTTCAGTCAACTTTAATTAGAACTTTCCATTTACCCTCATCCACCAAGCAAATACAGTGCACATCCCCCTCTAGTGTTCCCTGTCTCATAAATGGTACACCCTTCAGCCCGTTTCCTGGGGCCAAAGTCCTTGCAATCATTCTCGAGTCCTCTTTGACCCTGTCTGCCAAAAATATGTTGACTCCAACCACTTTTACCCTAGTCCAAGCCATATCATGTCACCTGCATCATGTATTTAGCACCAGCATCCTCCTGGGTTCCCTGCTTCCACTCTTGATTCTTGGTATAGATGTGATTTCTCGTGTCTACATTTGCCCATTTATACTGCACTGCAGGGGCCCAGAGTTATGAAAATCTGTTCCCCTGAAAATTCCCTCTGCCTGAAATAAGTAGAGTGCTTTCTCCCTCTCCGTGACTAGACCCTTACTGAGACACTTGGCTACATACAGCCTTTTCTCCACCGAGCGGTTCACGATCCTTTCAGAAGGTATCTTGACCGTGTTAACTTCCTGCTCAAAACTTTCTAACGGCTTACCGTGACATTTAGAGTAAAATCCAAACTCACGGCTACATTCTACGATCCCTGTATGTTCTGGCTTCTGGCCTCTTCTCCAGCCTCACTGTGGAGGATTCTCTCATTTAATGGGAGTGGATTCCTCACTGTCCACGGAACACGAAGCACTTCCCCACCCCGGGGCTTTTCCGGCCTGCTGTTTTCCTTGCCTGGAGTGCTCAGCTAACTTTCTCCCTTAATTTAATCTCTGCTTAAAAGTTACCTCCTTAGGGGCTCCTGGGTGGCTCAGTCGGTTGAGCATCCGACTTCAGCTCAGGTCACGATCTCGTGGTCTGCGAGTTCGAGCCCCGCGTCGGGCTCTGGGCTGATGGCTCAGAGCCTGGGGCCTGCTTCTGATTCTGTGTCTCCCTCTCTCTCTGCCCCTCCCCCCGTTCATGCTGTGTCTCTCTCTGTCTCAAAAATAAAATAAAACGTGAAAAAAAATTAAAAAAAAAAGTTACCTCCTTAAAGAAGCCTTCACTGACCACCATGTCTAAAATAGCAGGCTATACTTCCCTGTCCCTTATCCTGTTTTAGTTTATGTCTGTTGTCCCCCCTGGAATGTCTTACAAAGTCAGAGACTTTGTCTTTCGTGCTCGCGGTAATATTAGCGTCTAGTGTAGAGCATGGCCATGAGTTGGTATTCAATAAACATTCATTGAATGGATGAAGGACACACTGTGAAATACTCTAGTCTCTGTGTCTTGGCAACGTCCACATTTGCGACTTTCTCAACAGCTTGTAAAAATTGGGGCTTATTTAGAGGCGCCTGGATAGCTCGGTTAAGTATCTGACTCTTGATCTCTGCTCAGGGCATGATCTCTGGGTTCGTGGGATCGAGCCCCGCATCGGGCTCTGTGCTGACTGTGTGGAGCCCGCTTGGGATTCTCTCTCTCCCTCTCTCTCTCTGCCCACTCCCCTCCTCTCTCTCAAAATCAATAAACTTGAAGAAAATTGAAGCTTATTGATAGAGATTTGTAGGGAAGGAAGAAAGTTGACATGACCATCAAACTCTTCTCCTCTACTTCTCCCTTGCCTTGTTTTGGCAAAAACAAAAGAAAAAAAGAAAGGAAAAAAGGGGGAGGGAGAGATACCATGGTTAAAGGGGAGATCACAGGTGAGCAGGCTTCTTACATTCAGGGAAAAGCTATAGTCTCTTAACACACACCAAGTCTTTAAACCAACTCCATAGCTAACAGAGTTGCTTGTGAATAGGAGGCCAACCATCTAATGTCAATATTTAGAATTGTGGAGCAATGTTTGAATTAGCTCAAAGTTCACCACAGAGTATACCCGACTATCTTTTTGATCATATCTGAGTGGCCATTTTTAAACTCTCAGCTAGTGATCTTTACGTAAGGGACTAGGTAAGCCGAAATGCAAATCTTGCCACGGTTCAAAAAAATGCAAATAAAGAACATTAATTCCACCATGAAAATAGAATAGGAACCAGTAGCATCTAAGGCAAATTCATCTCTAAGTACGGAGCTGCTTCTGCTGAGGATAAGAGGTGAGGGTTTCTTTAAAACAATCTATTCTCATGGTTCTAACGGCACAGTCACGAGAGCTTGACCCTTTACCAACTCTTGAACACTTTATTAGCTGGAGAAATCGATGGCATTTTGTTGGGCCCACTTAAAAATCACATCCAGGGGCGCCTGGGTGGCGCAGTCGGTTAAGCGTCCGACTTCAGCCAGGTCACGATCTCGCGGTCCGTGGGTTCGAGCCCTGCATCGGGCTCTGGGCTGATGGCTCAGAGCCTGGAGCCTGTTTCCAATTCTGTGTCTCCCTCTCTCTCTGCCCCTCTCCCGTTCATGCTCTGTCTCTCTCTGTCCCAAAAATAAATAAAAAACGTTGACAAAAAAAATTAAAAAAAAAAAATCACATCCAAATGCTTTCGCAGAATAAGGTGATATATGTGTGGAACCAAAGAGACACTGGGAATTCTTTCACTACACTCCCACGGTGATAAATGCTTTCAGCTTTTAAATGTGATAAATGCATTGATTCAAGGAGCTATGGGCCAGTGCAATCACCCCTGCAGGACACAAGACTAGGACATGAGTACGTACAAGCTATTTCTCTCAGGAAATGTAGTCGACTATGGTAATTTTAGTTTGCCTGCCCACCATACTTTTCCTAACCCCCCCTCTTTGTGTTGGAAAAGAAAGTTTCTTTATTGTGGGTGATGCACTCCACAACCCCTCTTTATCACCTCACGTTTCCATATGACCCGTGCCTGTCTAGTCAGAGTATCAAACCCTCCTAGCCACAAGAACTGTGATTGATTCAGGAACATCCAAGTGACTCATGCCTGACCATTCAGCCCTCCCAGGAGCTTTTGTTAGAACTAGGAGGCATGCCTGCCTGCGTGCCTGCCTGCCTGCCTTCCTCCCTTCCTTCCAATCTCTACACCCAATGTGGGGTTTGAACTCACAACCCCAAGATCAAGGGTCACATGCTCTACCGACTAGGCCAGCCAGGCGGCCCCCACTCCCTCCTCGAACACGCTTCTCCCCATGGGATCACCGGCTAATCAGTTGGCACTCTGAGGGAAACCACTTGCTGAGAAGACAGCTAGTACAGAGAAAGGCAGACCTCGGAGACCGACCGTGCCTTGATAAGATTATTTGTATCTAGTAAGGCTTGAAGCGAAAAGTACATCTGTGGAGTTCATCTTCCCAGTTTCATAAGCCGATACATTTCCACGTGTTACAGACCCGAAGGCTGAACTGAATTTTTGCCACTTGCTACCAAAAGAGACTCCTTATAGGAAGCCTTGCTACACTGAATTCTGCTGTCTACATCCTCCGATTAATTCCACTATGGGGTAAAAGGAGTTAAAAGATCTTAAAAGTGTGAAAATATACGTGAGCAGTCAATGTACTCCTTGCAAGAGAGCATAAGGTATACCAAATCATCCAACTTTCTAGGAATCCAAATTGGGGCCAGAAGGAAGAAGTCCTGGGCGCACACACTCACAACCTTAGTCGCCCTGAGGTTGAGAGATTAAGGGTGTCTATGTCACTCCTGCCTTTACGAAAACTCTCCCTGGGGCTCCTGGGTGGCTCAATCAATGAAGGGTCCGACTCTTGATTTTGGCTCAGGTCATGATCTCATGGTTCGTGAGATCAAGCCTTGCGTCGGACTCTGCACTTCCAGCTTGGGATTCTCTCTCTCTCTCCCTCTCTCTCTCTGGTCCCTCCCCAGCTTGTGCACTCTCTTCTCAAAATAAATTAATTAATTAAAAAAAAAAGA